ATTCATAAATCCTCGAAATTGATACGCGGCGTGTCGCGCCGCCGTCGTCTGTGGACCCCGGAGACGCGCAGGGGGTCTCCCTCGGGGGGGTCTGGGGCCCCCGAGACAAGCGCGCCGTCGCCCGCGGCGTCGGCGCTTGCTAACCAGGTCCTTGGAGGCACCGCGGGGGAGGCGAGATGGCGCCGGGGGTGGAGGAGGGGCCGCGGGCCGGAGGGGCAGGGAGGGAGGGCGGGGAGCTGGGGGAGTGGATGGCGCGAGGATGCGGAGGAGGTCGGGGGCGGGGGTAGGAGCGAGGGGAGGCCGAGGGCGATGGGCGACGAGGGTGGGGGTCACCCCCTGGGGCCGATGCCCCGCAGACACTCCTGGGTTCTGGCTCTGGGCCTTTTGCTGTTTAGCGAAGGTTTCCCTTGGGGCATTCCGAAACCCTGGCCCCGTGGAGGGCCCAGCCATTCTGGCGCATTCTCGGCCATGGTCCAAAGCTTTCGTCGGCCCTCTCATCCCTGCTCGGGGGTGGGGTGTGGGGGTGAGGGGGGCTTGGAACTTGGAACCCTTCGGCGTAGCAGCATGGCCTGCCCCAAAGTTGTTTCCCCCCCTGAGCCGCCTCGGAAGTGTTCACGCCGCCTCCCCCTCGGATTGGACCCCGCTGGAAGCCCGAACCGCACTTGTGACCCTGAGCTGCGGGTAGATTGAACGCGAATCGTCCGTCGCGTTTGAGGCTCCAGGGGCCCGAAGTTGCTTTTTCTCAGTGGCATCTGTGCCATTCCAAGCACGCCCGCTTGCCGACGATGGGCGGCGGCGGTCGTGGCCGCGGCGACGGTCGCGGGACCGCTCGGAAGGGCAGCGGCGGCAACGGCGGCAGCCCCAGGAAGTCCGCTGCGCCAGCCCCCAGCCCCAGGAAGCAGCAACGTTCGCAGGCGCCCGCGGTTGCCGCTGCTCCTGGCTGCTGCGCGTGGAGCAGGGCGAAGTTCACCGAGGACCAACGGCCCAATTGTCTGCTTGCATAGCCTGTTTTCTCTTTCGCGCAGGCGTCCTACACCAGCGCGAAGCATGCCCCACCGCTCCTAACGTGCACTTGGTGTTGGTTCTTCGTTTTGCCTGGGGAGGGGTCCGCCGCTGTCATTGGCCCATCTTAACATCGCCACCCCTTCTCCCCGTCATCGGGGCCCGCGTCTCTGCCACCTACACGCATACATCAACATGAGCATCGCCGTTGCCACCATTGCCCTGACAATCGCCACCACCACAACCGATATGTTAAAATGCATACCACTTGCCTCACATTCACACACATTAGAAACAAGTTCATGCACGCACGCACCACGCACAACTCGCACGCCTCACTGCACCGTTTGGATGGTCCTCGTGTCGTCCCACGGCGTTAATTTGCTCGACGGCGAAAACAGTCCTCCCCGGCTGGGCCCTTCGCATGGACTCGGGTGCACCCTATGCGTTTGCTCCTCGCCCTCCCCCTTGCTCGCTCCACCCGCCATATGCAACCTTGCTCCGCCACCGCCCACGTCGTGAAGAGGGGGTAGGGGTGACGACGTTGCCGTGGGATGTTGATGCGTTTGCCCCTTTGACCCTGTGGATGGCGACGGCCTCTGCGCAGCTATCTTACATGCTGGGGAGATCTCAGAGCACACGGTGCGCAAGTGGCCAACGCACTAATAACCTCTCGAGGGGTGCTTGCATCGGGCTCTGCGCCGACAGCCGCCCGCCCCGTTCGGGCGCGGCGAAGCGAGGGGGGGCAGGGGAGATGTGCGTGATGCAAGTGGCGGGAAGGATACGCGGTCGATGAGCGGAGGAGGACGGGTCGAGCAATTCGGGCAAGGCAAGCGACCGACCTAACTCAAATTGAAACGAGCTGCCGAAACCATTACCCACGACAGCTTCAATCGGAGTCGCCCAAGAAAACATCGCCACCTGGCGGGACTGAGTCCGAGCCCTCATCGTCGAAACCATCTGGGCGATACTGGAAGTACGCGAACGGGTTCACACGGCCCGTGCGGGGCCGGTAAGTGGGGCCTTGCTCCCAGGGCGCGGTTGACCAAGGGGTATCTTGGAGCTTGAGCGGGAGCACGACCTCAGACACGCCCTCATTGACATTGGTCTCGTCGCGAACGGCGTCGGGCATCTTCAAGGGGACAGTGGAGAAGTGGTTCGGCTCGCTGTCGGGCAACGGGATGGCACGGTTGAACGTCGGCTTCACGCGGTGGGTGATACCGATGTCGATCGTATCGATCTCGGTGTCGACAAAATAGTTCTCGGGATAGTATGTGGTGCTGAAATCGCTGTCGGACTTAACCGAGTCGGCGTCGTCCTCCCCGTCGTCTGCCAGGGCGTCGCCGCTCACTGGCGCGGCCACCTCGATCCCGACCGCCGGGTTTTGCCCAATTTTTCTCGAGCTCGCACAGGCGATCCTTCAGGTTGCGGTGTTCCTGCTCGACGGCATCCAAACGATTCTGGGTCTCTTCCAGGATGTCGAGGGTCTCGAGGGAGCGGGGAAGGGCTGAGGGTTTCGAGAGGGCGATCGCAGCAAAACCTAGCAGCAATGGGAGGAGCGGCGGAGGAGGAGGAGGAGGAGGCAGCAGAGGAGGGGGGGTGAGGATGGGGGAGGCTTGAGACGGAGCACATAATAAATCACGTTTGCAACTACGGCCACCGCTGGAAACAGTCGCTGGAGGAAAACCGAAGTCAGGGTGACGAATTGACACTGACTTTCTGCTGGCCGCTCAAGCGGCCTAAATGGAGGGGAGGGTGGAAGGATGCCTCGGCCAGAACTTCTTCGATGATATTCTGCTTCTTTGGCGCCATGTCGCCGTCGGCGGATGTCTCTGAACGGGCGCGGGTGCGATTGCCCGCGGGCTCGGGATTCGCCATCGTCCGATCGGCTAGGGCTCGCGCTGCGAGGCTGGCATGGCTGCGCAGAGCGGGCGATATGGAGCCCTCGGTCGTCAATGAAAACCGAACCGACCCTGGCGTCGGAATTTGAATAAGCTAGAGCCAAAACTGTCATTCATATGACGGGCAAGGGGGGCCTCAAGGGCCGCAGATGCGATCCCCCCCCCCCCCCCCCCCCCCCCCCCCCCCCCCCCCCCCCCCCGACACTACCGACCTATTTGGTGCATGCCCCCCCCCCCCCCCCCCCCCCTCTTGGACAACGCCTGAGAAACTGAAGCGGCATGGGCCCGTTGAGACTCCGAGCGCCTTTTGGGGCCCCAGTGCGAAGGGTGCGCGAGACAGAGGCAGCTAGGATGAGGGGGAGGCGAAGGCATGCCGAGGCCGTTAGATGCGAAGGGTGAATACATTGCCAGCGCAACGCAAGTACAGCCACAAGCCGCCTTTCAAATGCAACGCCAACAATGTTTTCTTGATGCAGTGGGCTTGGGGCCAACTCGTTTGCCATGCGCGTTGTGTTTGCACATTGGTTGCAACATCTTCAGGGATCTGTTTGGAGGCGTCAAGATCACGGTGCCCCTTCTCCATGTTCACCCCCCCATTTCACCCTCCACGAGGTTCTACCCCCTGTCCTCTTCACTTCCTCACACCTCCTTGCCCAGTCTCATGCCGCCTTCCCTTTGCCCACCATCCTCCTCCTCCTCATCCCCCCCCTCGTGCCGATGGGCCCCCGCCTTGCGCCCGCGCGTCGCGTCTGCGCGGGGGCTATTCGGTTCGATGCCCAGGGCGCGTTTCCAAGTGGCGCTTTTTCGCCCCAGGCCTTCCAGGGGTCTGAGCGGCGTCGGTGCGGACCGATGCCGACCTGCAGTTATGCCGTGCTCTGCGGGGTCCATGGGGTCGTCTCAGCAGTTGGCATCTAAGGGTGTGTCCGCGGGCGTTCTGTTTCGCACGTCGCGTCGGTGGCCCTTCAACCCAGCGCTGTCGTTCGGGCCTCCGAAGGGGCCGCTTTCAGGGGGGCCTCCGTCAGCGGTTCCGCAGGGCGGCGGGATGAGAGTTAGGGCGGGCAGCGTTTCATTTCATTCCCACCCCTCCTGCCCCCGAGGAGGACCCGCAGGTGACCATCGCGGGTCGCGAGGGCCGCCCCGTGCCTGTCAAGCGCAGCATCGCCGAGCTGTACATGCGCGTCTTCTCGCACATGCCGGTCGACGAGGCCATCGAGCGCAAGAGCAGCAAGGCTGCCGAGAACGCCTACTTCAAGGCGCGGGCGCAGGCGGCGGAGGCGTCTCGGGCGAAGCGTGATCAGCGCACCGCGCTCGACACGGTCGGCTTGATGGGCGGCGGCGGCAACGTCTCGGTGGGTCACGGCAGCGTTGCCAAGGTGAAGCGCAAGGTTGCCATCTTGAACAAGGCGGATTTCAAGTACTTCCACGGCGGCAACGAGCCCTTGCAGCGCGCGGTGCGCCACCATCCGAGCATGTCGATCCCAGTTCGCGGCGGCGTCGTGGGAGAGACCGAAAAGGTGTGGCTGTTCGGGAACTTCCCTGGGGCGCGCCGCATCATGAGCTTCTGCACCCTCCACAGGGTCACCGCTGGGTCGACGCCCGTGCGCCCAGACGACGTCTTCTACGACGGCCAGGTCGTCGATTTTTACCAGAAGGGCCTCAGCACGCAGAAGTCTCAGTTCGACGCAGATCTTGTGGCGAAGGACCTGCCGTGCATCAACGCCACGAGGGGGAAGTTCAACTTGGCGCCGCTCAAGCTTCGCGAAGCGGGCGAGGCGGCCGACGAGGTGCCGCAGGGTGCTGCACCTGGATCGCCTAGCGCGGCGGCAGCGGACAGCGCCGTCGGGGAGGATGAGGCCGACGCAGATGGCGCGGCCAGCGGCTTGGGCGACGCCGCTCTCAGCGGCGTGATCCAGTTGCCCTCGGTTTTCAGCAGATCGCGCTCGGATGTCGGCATGCCCCCTACCAAGAGGAGCAGGCGTGGGAAGAAGAGCCCCGCCGCGGAGCTTGATGCCTCGCCCTTCGCAGCTGACGACGGCATCGGCCTCGACGACTCAGCGTTGCAGGTGGCTGCATCTACTATGGTTGGCGCGGCCAGTGGCATCGGAGGGACTGCTGGCAGCAAGCAGGGCCCCTACAAGCACACACCAAGAATCTAGATTGCGAGATGGAGATGGTGAAAGGGAACTTGGGCAATGCGCTGCACCACGCCAACAAATGGGCACGCGAGCACGGCAGTGAGCTGAAGTGGTCCCAGGGAACCGCTGACCGCAAGGCCCACATCAAGAAGTTCGAGATGGCTCACATTGTACCCGTTGCCTACCAGGATACTTACCAGGACGATGGAGTTGCCAAAGCCGTTCTTCTTCTGGTTCAGACCTACGGGGCGTTACCCGACGCCGTGAACTTGAAGCTGTGCATGCGAGAGTCCAGGCGGAAGATGAAGCAGATCAGCGACGGCGATGCAATTGTAGCGTTCTTTGCTTCGACGGTGCCATACAATCCTAGCCACACCGATTCGTTTATCAGCTCTTCGCTTACACTGAGCGCTCTGAAGTCGGAGCCAGAGATCAAGATCGGCACGTTCTTGGGTTGCTTCATCAACGACTGGCGTTGTCCCTCCATTGAGGCAGGCAAGAGCGCTCAGGATCTGCTCACCACGGCCGTCGACATCATGGGTAACAAGGTCTCGGAGATCGTCGCACCCAGCGACATGCCCGAAGAGTATTTGGGGTTCTTTTGCTCGCTTTCGGAAATCACACCCGCGCTGAGCACGCTCCTCCACGGTCTCGACGCGGCCGCCCTGGACGATTTCGCCTCGAGGGCCAAGCACCACGTCACCATCCTGTCCGGCGCGAAGGCTAAAGGCCCCATGGCGCAGCGCATCGCCCGCTCGATCCTTGCGACGCCGATCTACGTGGACCTGCTTGCCGACTTGAGGAAGACCTCGCAAGGCTTAACTACCATGAGCCAGGAAGTCGAGCATGCGAATGCGGTTTTGACGACCAAGATGCCAGATATTTGTGGTGAGAGCGAGGAGTGGCGATTAACTTGCCATACCAGCGCTGTTCTTGCGAAGAACTTGTTGGGTTTGCTCGATGTGCTCGGTGGCACCTACGGGAACGAGTTGAAGGAGAATGCTTTGGACAGGGCGCGCGTTATAGTCATGGGCATGCGTGAGCGCGCTGCAATTGGGCTTGTATCTTTGACGGAGTCGAAGTCTTTCGCTGAGATGATCTCCGACCGGAGGATCGCGTGGCACAGCGAGGCTTTCTTGGTCGAGGCGGAGAGCGACGCGGCCGACATGCTCTTCAAGATCACCGCGGACGGGGAGGTGGCAAACTTCAAGGTCGAGCTGACGAAGGCTGCCGCGGCAGAGATCCTGTCGCAGGACATCCCCGAGTCCGTGAAGTCCATTTTCGAGAAGGTCAGGGGCGCGAATGTCAACGACGACCACGTGAATTCTGAATTGATGAAGGTCGTGCGCAGATGCGTCCACTTCGCGCTGGACACCAACTCGGATTGTCAGGAGCCGAAGTCGGCGTCGCTGAACGCGCTTGCAGGTGCCTTGGAGCTCCTGCCGCCGTGCGCCTACCACCGCGGTGTTCTCGGCGCCCTGAGGCAGCGGCATGAGCTGGTGGCCTTGGAGACAGCATTCAGGAAGAAGCACTGCACGGAAGGTGGTGTGAACTTGGATGCAGCGTACACGGACGATACGTTGGTTACCATGAAGGGTTCGACCAAAGTGTTGTTCGAGAAGGTCTTGATCATGAACTTTCCTGACGACGAGGAGACTGCTCACATCAATGAGAAAGCGACGGTTTGCGGCAACGGGGTGCAGGAGCTGATCCACCAGGTCGCGCCCCACGGGCTTGAGGTGAAGTTGCTCGCGTATCAGGACAAGACGCTGAAGGGGCTCAGGAGCGAGCAGGGTGGCCTCAAGAACGGCGCCAACTGGATCGACGGGCTGCCGAATGGCATGGACGAGAAGTGGGACAAGACCCGCGCGGTCGGCAAGGCCACCTTGCTGGCGGACGGCATCGCCGTCGTCCTCCGCAAGAAGGTCGACGCCGCCTTGCAGGACCGCCTTGGGTTTCCACGCACTCGTTGTTCTGGGGGGGGGGGGGGTCGGAGGTGGTTGGGCGTGCGAGGAGCCGATGGTGGGAGGAGGGGATGGGGTCGCACGACCCCGCCCCCGCCTCACCATCGGCTACCGCGCTCCCAGGCACCCCCTATGCACTTGGTGCCGCTCCTCCGACACGCCCTCGTTGCCCCATCGGCTCCCCTTCCAGTTTCGGCTCGTTCTTGCGATCCCTCTGCCTCGCAGGAGGAAGCCGCCATTCGCAAGTGGGCGAAGACGTTCGAGCTCCCGATCGACGAGAACATCTTCCAGCGTGGCTCGGACGCGATGGGCAGGTGCATCAAAGCGCGGGGTGCGTCGCTCATGATCAAGGCCATCGCCGATGGCGTTGACAAGGTGAGTTTGCGGAAGGCCGCGATGGCGGCGCAGACGGAGCCCGGCAAGCACGAGCTGACGCTGGAGTCCTTGCAGCCGACCTCGCTGGCCAAGAAGGCCGTGGATGTGATGCACTTCAAGTGAGGCATCGGCTTCGAGGCTGCTGGGCGCCTCGCGTCTGGCCCGACCAGGGCGGGGACTTGCAGAGGAGGATGAGGAGGAGGGGAAGGGGGGGGGAGGAGGGAGGAGGAGGGGGGAAGCGGGGAAGAATGAGGAGGAGGAAAAGGATGAGGAGGGAGGAAGGAGGAGAGTGAGTGAGGAGGAGGCGGAGGAGGAAGAGGAGGAGGAGGAGGAGGAGAAGGAAGACATCTTTCGTGGCGAAGACTTCGTTTTTTTGCCCAGAGAGTTTCCGAGGGCCCTGTCCGACGCCACTGGGCGCCGTCGGCGCCCGTTGCTCAGGCCGCGGGCCGCAGGGCGGCAGAGGCCGCGGGGCGGCAGAGGCGCCGCACCGCGCTTGGCATGCCAAATCCAGGCCTCCACCTCCTCATCCTTCTCCTCCTCCTTCTCTTCGTCCAGCGTCGATGTCGTCAGCTCGTTTGCGTTGATCCTCCCCGCCCGTCTCCTTCTATATTACTCTGCCCTGCCTTCCCACCCCATTCCCCCTAGGTCCCCCACTGCCGCCTCCGCCCTCGCCCCCCCCCCCCCCCCCCCCCCCCATAGCCCCCCCCACCTGCCTCGAAAAGTGCACTCAAAACAACCCTGAACGCTCGATCCCCCTTCCCCTGTGTAGTCAAGCTGCCACGCGTCAAAGGGATGTCAATGGGGTGGGTCGGCGGCGTCCGACGCTAGTCCAGTTCAGGCCGAATGTGATTTCATTGGTTCCCGAATGCATTTCCGAGCTCGCGCGGGGCCCTCAGAAGTTGGCGCTTGATGTCCCCCTCCCTCTTCCGCCCCACCCGCTCCCTTTCCAGCTCCGTCCCGCCCTGGGCGCGGCCCCTCGGCCAACCGCCTGCGTTTTCGAGGGTGACCGCCTTCTCCCGCTGCACCAGGGCTCGGCTGTGGGAGAGAAACATTCGGGCTTGATGTCAACGCTCGGTCTTGCGTTCGTGTTTTTTCGGGGGTCTTCTAGGCCATTCGCGTTTTTCAAAACTCCAGTTGGCCCCCTCCTGGAACGGCCTTCGGGCCTTCCTGAGACCCCCGTGTGTTGCTCTCGGTCGCAGCGAAGAAGGACGCGGGTGGGGGGCTAGCAGATGGAGACGAAGGGGCAGAGGATCATTGATGATTTTTCGGCTCAACGTAACGACCGTCGCTATCTGATGGTGGCTTCTGCGATTTTTCTGGACAGTAGGTGCGCCCGATATGGGTGCGGTACCATTTTTGGGGAATTGCTGATGTCGGTTTCGGTTGTTGCCGCCGTGGTTTCGACATGGGCCAGCACCATGTTGAACTGTTTCGGGGACACGTGTCGGGATTTGGTTTCGACTGTTCGCGTGTCTTTCGGGGCTTCCCTTCTAAGTTTTGTTCCTGGCCCAGTTCCAGGGGGCGCCGCGGAGTATAAGGGCCACAAAACGTGTGAGTGATGTGCCGGACGGGTTTGGAGAAGGTGTACGAAGGTAACCACTGGGACGTAGGTGGAACCCCCCATGGGGCCACGAAGCGTGTGAATGGTGCGCAAAAGTGGGGTGGCGGCGACATGCGGACGCAACCATTGAGGCCGTAGGTGGAGCCCCCCCATGGGGCAACGAAGCGCGTGAGGGGTGCGGCAAAGTGGGGTGGCGGCGGCATGCGAACACCACGGAGGCACTCCGTGGAACTCCTCATGGGGCCACGAAACATGTGAGGGTGCGGCAAAGAGGGGTGGCGGCTGCATGCGAACGCAGACAAGGGGCGTATATGGACACCCCCATGGGACTACGAAGCGTGTGAGCTGTGCGCCAAAGTGGGGTGGTGGCGGCATGCGAATTCACCACGGAGGCATTCCGTGGAGTTCCTTATGGGGCCACGAAATGTGGGAAGGGTACGCCAAAATGGGGCGGCGGCGGCATGCGAACGCAGCCACTGGGGCCTTAGGTGGAGCTCCCCCTGTGGCCACGAAGCGCGTGGGGGGTGTGCCGACCTGGGTTGGAGAGCGAATGCGAACGCAGCCACTGATGCGTTAGGTTGAGATCCCTCTGGGGCCGCGAAACGTGTGTGTGGTGCGCCAAAGTGGGGTGGCGGCGACATGCGAACGCAACCATTGGTACCTATGGGGCAACGAGACGTGTGAGGGGTGTGCCGAAATGGGTCGGGTGGACGCATGTGAACGCTGCCACTTGGGCCAAAATTGCGTGGCGGCTGCATGCGGGCACAACCACTGGTGCCTTAGGTGGAGCTCCCTATGGGGCCACGAAAGGCGTGAGGGATTCGCCATAGTGGGTTGGCGGCAGCATGCGAACGCAGCAATTGGGGCCTTAGGTGGAGCTCCCGATGGGGCCACGAGACGTGTCATGGGTACGCCAAAGTGGGGTGGCGGCGGCATGACATTCAGCCACTGAGGCTCGAGGTGGAGCTCCCTATGGGGCCACGAAACGTGCGAGTGGTGCGCCAAAATGGGGCGGCGGCTGCATGCGAACGCAGCCACTGGGGCTTGAGGTGGAGCTCCCCCTGGGGCCGCGAAACGTGCGCCAAGGTGAGGTGGCGGCGACATGCGGACACAACCACATTCGTCCTAGGTGGACACCCCCATGGGGCTACGAAGCGTGTGAGTGGGGCACCAAAGTGGGGTGGTGGCGGCATGCGAACTCACCACGGAGGCATTATGTGGAGCTCCTTATGGGGCCACGGAATGTGGGAGGGGTGGGGCGGCGGCTGCATGCGAACGCAGCCACTGGGGCCTTAGTGTAGCTCCCCCTGAGGCCACGAAGCGTGTCTGGGGTGTGCCGACATGGGTTGGAGAGTGAATGCGAACGCAGCCACTGGGGCCTTAGGTGGAGCTCTCTAGGTGGCTACGAAACGTACGAGGGGTGCGCCAAAGTGGGGTGGTGGGAGAGAACACGGGGGAGGTAAGAGGAGAGACGAAGGGCGCCGCCGAGTTAAAACGAGGACCCAACTAAACAGAGGATGTTTGTGACAAAGAGAGCCACACAATACCCTGACGAAGGATTCGACTATATGCAGTTGTGGGCACCGCGTTGTGGGAACCGTTTTCGGTCGATTTCCTTTTCGGACCACACACTTCGGGAGGTGTGTACCGGAGTGAGCGCGGTGGTGCCATGCGAGCGAAGCCATTGGGGCCTTCGGTGGAGCTCCCTGTGGGGCCAGGAAGCGTGTAAGGGGTGTGCCGAAACATTTGCGGCGGTGCCATGCGAACGCAGCCGCTGGGGCATTCGGTGGATCTACCTACGTGGCAACGACAGTGGCGTGTGCCGACATGTGCGGGAGGGGGGCGCATGCGAGCAGCGCAACGGGAGAAGTCGGTGGGGCTCCCTACGGGGCCACGAAACATACCAGGGGTGTCTCGACATGTGTCGGGCGGACGCATGCGAATTGCACCACGGAGGCCTTCTCCCCATGCGGCCACGAAACGTGCGAGGGGGTGTGCCAGAATGAGTTGGGCGGACGCATGCGAACACACCAAGGAGGCACTCGATGGAGCTCCCCATGGGGCCACGAAGCGTGCAAAGGGTGTGCCGAAATGTGTCGGGCGGACGCGTGCGAAGTCACCACGGAGGCTTTCGGTGGAGTTCCCTATGTACGAAGCGTGTGAGGGGTGTGCTGGAATGAGTTGGGCGGATGCGTGCGAACACACCACGGAGGCCTTCGCTGGAGCTCCCTTCGGGGCCACGAAGAGTGTCAGAGGTGTGCCGGAAAGGGTGGGGCAGACGAATGCGAATTCACCACGGAAGCATTCGGTGGAGCTCACAATGGGGCTGCCCAACGTGTGAGTGGTGTGCTGGAGTGGGTCGGGCGGACGCATGCGAATTCACCACAGAGGCATTCGGTGAAGCTCCCGATGTGGCCACGAAGCGTGCGAGGGGTGTGTCAAAATGGGTCGGGCGGACGCACGCGAATTCACCACGGAGGCATTCGGTGGAGCTCCCTGAGGGGCCACGAAGCGTGCGAGGGGTGTGCCGAAATGGGTCTGGCGGACGCATGCGGACACACCACGGGGGCCCTCGGTGGACTCCCTTTGGGGCCACGGAACGTGTGAGGGGTGTGCCGAATGGGTCGGGCGGACGAACGCAGCCAGTGGGGCTTCAGATGGAGCTCACTATGGGGCCTGGGGCAAAGATGCGAGGAGGACGCGGGACCTTGTTTCTTGAAAGCAAGGACCCAACACCACAGGATGGTTGTGAGTTAAGCACGGCCGCACATATTGGGGCAGATGCAGTCGAGGTGCCGATAAATAATGGAGCAGCTCTGGTTCACAAAAGGCGCGCTGTGCCTCAAGTCCTGCCACGGCTGCTCCTCCAGCGCTCCTCGTGCACCCACCGTTCCTTCCGGTAGCAACTAGACCCTAACATCCGCTGGTGTGATGTTTCGAATCCCCGCCCCGAAAGGTCCAGACCTCTTCCCAGGGATCCCGGATCCATGATTGACGGCCCCAGAGCCCGAAGACGGGCCCCTGAGAGCCAGAATGAGGGCAAACCCGGCAGCTCGAAACATCCGATCGCCGGAGATCTGCACTTAAGCAGAAGAGCGACAACGTCCAGCCCCCGCTCCCCTCTGTCGGGGAACGAGAGACATACATGATCCCGGGTCGAGAGCTCACAGCCCCTCCCCCCCAGACGGAACGGGCCCCCGGGCTCCACAAGCTCCATCCCCCCAGATGGGATGGGGCCGACGCCGATACCGACGCCACAGCCGCCGACGCCGACGGACGACGACGACGACGACGACGAGGACGACGACGACGACGACAACTACGGCAACGACGACAACTACGACGACGACGACGACGAACACCCCACACCCACAGAGGAAGGGGGGGTGCACTGGCACTCTCCACCACGCCACGATAGTAGGGGGCAACCTCGAGACATACATATCCACTGCCCGCGATCAGGCCCACCCTGGGCCTGGGGTCCGTGAGCGAAAAAAGAATCCGCACCCACGGCCTCGCAGGCCTGGCCCCCCGGCCGCGACTCCGCGGATACGGGGCGTTT